GGGGGGGGGGGGGGGGGGGGGGGGGGGGGGGGGGGGGGGGGGGGGGGGGGGGCGTGGAGATCACCTTCACAAAAGGGTACAATCTCCCAACGCCCGTCGAGGACGATTCCCTCTTTCTCACACATGCACAAACTAAAAAAAAAAAAAACAGGCACAGGCCACGGCGTCGCCCAACCCCCCCCCAAACGCACCTGGTGTGCCAACCCCTCCAGCACCACATCCGCAGCCTCCTCGTACCTCCCTGCCAAAGCCAACGCCTCCACCAAACCTGAAACGTCGGCGTTCCCCACCTCGACCGACACTTGCACGCCCACGGCATACCGTTCACCAAACTCCTTCGCCTCTTCTTCCTCCGCATACCGTCCACCAAACTCTTGCACCCCTTCCTCCTTCGCAGCGTTTGCCACGGCTAATCCGATCGCCCCGGCTGCCGAGACAGCCTCGCGTCCCAGAACCGCCACGGTGCGGACCCCCGCCGGCCGCCCGTAGCCGTCGAGGCGGCGCTCTCCCGGGGGGGGGCAGATAGACGCCACCGGCGCTGCGGCGGCGGCGGCGGCCGTGTCATCGGAGGAGGGGTAGGCATTGCCGGCGACGGAGAGAGCGTTCAGCGCCGCCAGGCGAGCTCGCTGAGCGCCCGCCGCGAACGGCAAGGTGGAGGCGGCGGAATGGGCTTCCAGCCTGGGCGTGCGTGTGGGGGGGGGTGCGTTGAAGGGTAAGTTAGCGAAGGGGAACAAGGCGCGAACAAACATTGAGTTACTTGCGGTCGAACAATCGAGCCGGGCTGAAACATAAAAAGATAAAAAAAATTGCGAAGGTGGGTAAGCGGCTGCAAGCGGGACAGGGGTCCGGAGGGTAGTACTCGGGGCTGAACGGAACACCTTATTCGGCGACGAGAGGGAGAGGGGGATGCTTGCGCCAAGGTGAAACCCAACCGCCAACTGCGAGGTAGACTTCGACGACGCCAACACGACCATAAGACCCTGCCTCTTTCAACGAAACACCGCATAACCACAAGAGCCTCACCACTCAACCAAGCAAACCGCTATCTGCACCAACCGACAACAAACACCACCACGCAGGAACCACCGCACCAGAACACAACCAGCAGCTTCAACAACCCACCTCTCTCTCAGTTCGTCCTGAGCACGAGCCGCCGCTACCTCCTCCCCCCGGGCCATGTAGAACGCGTACAGGCAGTCGTAATAGTTGACTCTCGACCTCCCCTTCCCACACGGACCTCCAACGAGATCGTCAACACTCGACCGCCGCGCCAGCGGCCACAGCGCTCTCTCTACGACGCGCGAGGTGTGCCAATCGCCTCCGCGGGGGCAGTCGGCGAGGGACAGCGAGCACAGCTCGCCGAGCCGTCCGCTCTCGCACATGTGCTGCGCAAGCGCCGCGAGGTTCTCCTGTTGATAAAAAAAGAGGCCAAACGAAAATAAGTCAGTGCGCGTGTGGGGGATAGTCATGGAGTTGACAGGCGAGGCGCCAAAAAAAGGTAAGTCAATGCGCGCGCGAGCGAGGGGGTAGTCATGATTTGCCGTTGTTAGGCTAGACAATTGACCACGAACCCTCGAGCGGACGGAGCACTGTCTCCACAGGACCGATCACCGATGGGCTCAATAATGTCTTCTCTATTATATCTATCCTATCGGTATTACTTCCCGCCTTTTCAACCCCCTTCTCATGCCCCGGTACAGCTAAATTACCGTCTTCTGCTGGCTATTCCATGACTCAAACATCTCCCTGAATCTTTCATCTACGTTTCCCTGCTCAGCCATGTGCACTTCCCGTTCCTTGTCGTACAACGGACATTCCGCACCTACATGCGTGTGTGTGTGTGTGTGTGGGGGGGGTGTACTCATAGTCGTGCATGCCGTAGTCGTTAGACCATTGACCTCGCATCCCTACAAAGCCGGGACGGAGCACGCCGGGTTCTCACCGGACCAGGCTCTCACATCACCAAGCGCGAAGCGCCGTGAG